AGAGTCAAACATTGATAACTAAAGGCAACACGTACAACTAAGTGCTAAGTCAATATCTTGTAGAAAAATCGGCATAATGTCACTTTTCAAGATACGTGATACCCGTGCGGGGTTGGAAGTGTATTAATATACTTATACATAAAAATGAGATATACCTCCCGCTCCCTACAATCTCAACCCCCAATTTTTAACGCCCACAATTTTTTTCTGAAAGCGATCAGCAGCCTCTGAAATACCAAAAAACGAAGTTTGAGCGATTTTCAAAACCTATAAAGCTTTTTCGCCGATGGCATAGTAGTTACCTCTTGGAAAAATTTCATCAAAATCTGAGCGGTACTTTCCAAGTTACATACGGGTCAAGGATTAGCGGACAGACAAAAATAAGTGACATGGTTTTTCGTGGTAACATCTCATTTTTGAAAATACAAAGAAACACATACACTGAGAATCAAATTTGTTTGACGGCTTGAGGTCAATGTGCACGAGAGACGTGTGCATAGACGAACAGATAGAAGCCGGCGAAGCTAATCACCTCGTTGCTTAGCAACGCTGACGCGGCAATCTACAGCGTGGTCAATGTGTTACAACAGTTCCTTGAATTAAGATGCATACCGAAAATATGAGTTAGTTTATACTGTACGTCGAAACAATGGTTTTATTTTAAGCGTACGCATTTTTGAATCGTGAATTGAGTCGAACCTGTTTATGATCGATTCCGGATCGGTCCTAACGGCGCTACATTTTAGGTCGAAATGAAAGGTCAGGATCGCCACAAATTCTGTAACATTGCATTATTGGTTCGTTTAATAATACCGCATCTTGTACACCTCCATTATTTGTTACATTTTCTGACCGCAGCGCCTGCGGAAAATATAATAATAACTCAAGATGTTTTGATTTCATCACCATCGGTGGAAATCAATTAATTCTAAAATAGAATAAAATAATAAGTTGCATCAAAATTGAAATATTATAATCAAATGTTCGAACAGAACCCCTTCTTGGGTTTGATAGTAACTATTGTAGCGAACATTTTCTGGGGTAACATATTGGCAACGCGGCAGATTGCACGGCCTTCTGCATCACCTTTGCTAGGCCATGTGGTGATAACCTTCGCGCTTCTCGTACAAATTAAACTCAAGTCGTCAGATAAATTCGGTTTTCACAGTATAGTGTTGAGGTTTGTGCAACCGCCGACTTTCTTGTACTACAACCATTTTACTGAAAAGGCACAAGCAAAGATGCAAACATATACGTAGTCGTGCCATAAGTTCTGTCCCATGATAATCTCATGATAAAAATGAAACAAGATAAGATATATTTATATGAAAGATATTATTTATTCGACAACATTTTTAGAATTCATAATCAAACAGTTTTATTCAAAATGTCCCCCCTTGGCCTTCACACACTGCTTCAATCTCGCGGGCCACTCATCTATCACTGCACGCACAGCTTCCAAAGAAATAGCTGCCGCTGATCGGATCAAATCCGCTTTCAGGGACTCGATATTACGGTGGGCTTTGGAGCAGGCCAACTGCTCTAGCAGGTCCCACAACTTGTAGTCTAAAGGAATGAGGTCCGGACTCCCTGAGGGCCAATCTTCCGCAGCAATGAACTCTGGCACATTGCTTTCCAGCCAGCGCTGCGTACTCTTAGCCTTGTGAGCGGGGGCGGAATCCTGCTGGTAGACCCAGTGTTGGTTGGCAAACAATGTACCACTTAAAGGCTTGACGATAGGATCCAGTATGTCGCTCTGATAGTTTGCCGCTTTTGTTTTCACGCCCTGTTTACAGAAATGGAGCTGAGTGACCCCTTCGTAGGACACCCCCCACCAAACCATGACTGACGCAGGGTGGTGGCCTCTCTCAACTCTCGGAATGATCTCCGAAGCTTCCTGTGAACTCCTTGCATACACTTTGTCATTTTGTCGGTTGAATTTTTCTTCTATGGTGAAGATTTTCTCATCCGTGAACAAAATCTTTCGGAATCCCCCAGCTGCGTACCTCTCCAAGAGCTTCTTGGATCTTGTCGCCCTGATGTGTCGCAAGGTGGCCGTAAGTCGCTGGCCCGTACGTCTCCGGTAAGCCCCTAGCCCTAGGTCTTGTTTAATGATGCGCGACATCGTCCGGACAGGAATCTTCATTTCCCTGGATAGGATCTTCTGCTTCCGGAGTGGATTCCTTTGAATCCTGGCTTTTACGGCTTTGATGGCTGCTGGAGTGCTTACTTGACGAGGTCTTCCGCTTCTTGGCCTGTCATCAACAGAGGACGTCTCATTGTACCGCTGAATGGTCCTAGACACAAATTTACGCGATATTTGAAGGCCGCGTAAGAGTTCAAAAATCTGACTAGCACTGTGATTACACTTATGTAAAGCTATCACTGCAATACGGTTCTCTGCCTTGCCCCACTCCATCGTTATGCTTCGAGAGATCAATACAAACTGAGGTATATGTAATTACCCGAAAAGCGCTTAATCAACTGACACCACAATGTAAACAATCGGACAAGTATTAACAGGTCTACACTTGTTTGAAAACGAGGGACAGAACTTATGGCATGACTACGTAGCTTATGGAAAATTTGACAAAAAAATGTTTAATAATGGGAAAGGGAATAATAAATTAAGGAGGGAAGACGGGAGCGCAGAGGTAGAAGTGCGTCAATTTGATGGATCTTGAACTTAATTTAGAGATTGGCTGTTGAAAAATTATAATTTCGGTTGCACCTAAAGTCGTATGATTTAATTTGGTTCACAGTGAGAGCTGCGGCCTTGAGTGCTCTCGAACTATGTATGTAGTCTACTGACTCGCGTAACAAAGGGTTGCTATGCGAGAGTGATGATTTTGACATTTATGCAACGACTTGTCACTCTCCCTGTCCGTCAATATTTATATGTGAGTGGGTAGCATAAGACGTTACGGACTATATGAGAGCTGTAGTAGACGTCAGGCGATGAGTACATTGCTCTGGCGAGCGTGTTCTTCGAGAAGGAAATTTTTCGATAAATTTTTTTATGAATAGAATACAAGTTTCTGAACCACATTGCATTGATATTAACGTTTTCAATAATCTTTTTTTAGCATTCCAACATCAATTAGTGGTCCTTGATCAGAATATTTATAATATATATTTAGCCACTGTCTAATGTACGTTAGTCAAATCTGTCAGTCCTGGTTGCCCAGAAACCAGGCAAAGTCAAGGAAAAACAGAAAGGAAAAGAGAAGAAAAAAGAAGAGCAAAGAAAAACGGATGTGCTTAGTTTAAGAGGAAACACCTAGGCTTTTTGACTTGGTACACGGATTCATTTTGAGGTGAACTAAACAAATTTTTGATTAGGTTTTGTTAGAGTGTAATTTTGAGTTGGCTAAAAATTCGCGCTAACTTTTGATTACAGTACGAGCCGTGGCCTTGAATGTTTACAAACTTGCTCCACTGAGTCACGCAACAGAGGATTGCTGTGCGATTCCGCTTGCTTTTATCAAGGGTGACACCGAGATACTTGGTAGATATTGTCTATGGTACACGATTTCCGTCTACAGAAACCTCTGCTGGGGGGCTGCGACGTTTTTTGGTACAATAAATAGCCTGCGTTTTTGAATGATTAATTTTTATCAGCAACCGTACCGCCCACTCTAGTCCACCGCATTCTGCAACCCATCGTGAACCAGATCACCAGTACACGACTGGGCGTGTGCAGTGTCGTCAGCATATAGGTGGACTTCACAGTTGCTGGGGCAAGGGACGTCATGGATGAAAAGCGAATAAAGGATTGGTCCTAGGACCGAACCCTGAGGAACACCGTCCCGCATTGGCCGTGTTATTGCCAAAACATTTTTAATTTTGATCCGAAACTTCCTTCCTCCAAGAAAGCACTTCAGTAATTTTAGAAGCCAAAAAGGAAAACCCTTTTGGATTAGTTTATAGAGGAGGCCCGCGTGCCACACCTTGTCAAAGGCTTTTGAGACATCCAAAAGCAAGATGCCAGTACTCATGCTGAGGGTGAACCCTCTGGTTACATGTTCCACCTGCCTGACTGCCTGTAATCACATGGTGATTTGACGAAAAATTCTCAAGGTGACGATAAATCACCTTTTCGGCGAGCTTGGAAGGAGCTGACAGCAGACTTACGGGACGGTAATCCTGAGGAAATATCGAACCCACCTTCTTTGGAATCATGATGACCTCAGCACTCTTCCACCCAGCAGGGAGGTACTGGATTCTGAGCGTCGCATTGATTATTGTCACCAAATATGTCAGGGCTTTCGGCGAGAGTAGCTTCAACGCCTTGTTGGTGATTTGATCCACCCCAGGTGCTTTATGCACCTTGGAGTCTTTAATATGACTTAGGAGCTCCGCTGGCGTGCAATGTGGAACCTCGGAGGGTTCCGCTAATGTGCGATGTGGAGCCTCAGACGAATCTTCTGAAGAAGAGTAATCTGAAGAGGATTCAGTGCGTCCGCTAACCCCGTTGGCCCTAAAATATCTCCTGACGGATCGTACGATGTGCTGTTCCTCGTCGAGGTCATTATCAAGATCATAGTTGGGAGGGAACTGTTTTTCCATGGCATCAGCGAACACCTCGACCTTATCCTCCGTTCTGAAGACTATGCCTTCAGGACCGTGGATGTGCGGGAGTTGTTCTCGCTTTCCGTTTCTGAGTGACTTTGCGACCCTCCAGAGAGGAATACTTGAATCAAGCATTCCCGCCAGAAAGTCGCTCCATTACGTCCAAGTAAGTATGACTATTGGGCTATGAAATTGTGTGAAATCCAGATGTTCGATGTCAGCAATGACAGATGCCAGAAATGACGACATCGTAACTTTTAGCGACAGACTTTAAACTTAAAAACAAACAGTGAGCAAACCTCACAGCTCCATGGACATGAGAAAGTACAAAGAGCCAACCACTTTTAGTTTTTAGAACCACCCTATTTATAGAATTACTTTATAACTAGTTAGCATAAAATGTATCATTTATTTCAAATGGTACTCACCTATTGCACTCCTTTTGACTTTCGCACCACGTCAGGTACGCAGTGAATACTTCGCTGTCCATGTTTTCTCTGCAATAATGCTGACATCTAGACTGTTCAGCACAGTATTTGTAGTACGGTTGGAAGACATCCTGAAGGCTTCTGAAGCCTTCCAGCATCGTTTCTATACAAGGAGGCCGCCTGCACAAAGGAAACAAAATGTACTTAGTTCAGTAACCTTGGAGTATTCAAGTAAAGTTATTTCACAGTGTGCAAATGGTACCATCAACACTGGATCTTAGAATATGCAGTCAATTTCTTGGATTTTTTTATTAGTTTAGATTAGTCCGAAAAACATGCGGCTTGCCAACACGGGCAGATTCCTGCTTTCTCTTAGGAGTTATATAAAAAAATACATATTTTTCTTGGTGATAAAGAGAACAGGATATATACTAAGTGACATATAAATCCGAACACCCAGTTTAAATGGTTTTATTTTAATAAAATTTTGTATAAGTACTTAATGAAGCACAATAAGTAAATGATAAACATTTCAAAATGATTGCACTGCTTTAAAGCCCTTTGATCTTTAATAATATGTGGATGCACCCTGATGTGCTACGCATTCTCCAACGCGCCTAGGCATGCTTCTGATCAGGTGGTCAATGTCCTCCTGTGGTATCTCATTCCAGGCAACCACCAACTCCTCTCGAAGTGCTTCTAGAGTCTGAGGAGGACGTTGCAAATTGAGCAATCTCCTACCCATCATATCCCACACGTGCTCAATTGGGGATAAGTCGGGAGATCGTCGTGGCCATGGTAACAATGTGACATCATTATGTTGAAAGAAGTCTATTGTGACTCTTGCAACATGTGGTCGGGCATTATCTTGTTGGAAAGTTGGATCTGCCAGGATGTCAAGATAGGGTAAAAGATGGGGTTCTAGAACTTCGTGGATATAACGCTGCGCGTTCACGTTACCTCTGATGAAGATTAAAGGTGACCTGGAACCATAAGCTATAGCACCCCAAACCATAACTCCAACAGTGTGATGAACATGTCTTTCAACAAAAAACTGTGGATTCCTCCTTTCACCACGTCGCCTTCTAACCCTGGCACGACCATCGTGCATGCCTAAACAAAATCGAGACTCGTTACTAAAGACAATACTGTTCCATTCCTGATCCCAGAGTGACCGTTGTCTGCACCACTCAAGGCGATTACGTCGGTGTTCTCGAGTTAAAGGGAGGACCCAGTGTGGCCGGTATGAAAACAAGCCAAAACTTCTCATTCGTCGGTAAACACTTCGCATGCCAATAGGTCTTCCGTGTTCTGCAAACCATTCATTTGCAATGGACCTGGTAGTGGAGAAACGGTCCCTTAAGGCCAATAATCTTAGGCGGCGATCTTCACGGTCTGTTGTTCTACGGCGGCGGCCAGTGCCCCTTGCTCTTTGCGTACGGCCTTCTCGAAGCCATGCCTGACAACACCTAATCACAGTGTCTACACTTCTTTGCACTCTAACTGCAATTGCCCGAAAAGAAAGTCCAGCTTCCCGAAGTCCCAGTATACGGCCCTTATCAAACTCACTAAGTTGACGAAATCGTACAGGTCTCCGTACTCTAGGCATCGTAACCGATCGTGAAGGATGTCAAGAACCAAAATCCGCCAACGTTGATTCTTTACTGCGGTTGAAATATTCATTTTTAGAGCGTTAGTGAATTGAAAAAAAGCAGTATAAAAACCGGAATGTCCAACTGATAAGGCTGAACATTTTTTCACTTGTTATTTACAGTAAGATAAATACATTCACCAACTTTTATTAAAATAAAGCCATTTAAACTGGGTGTTCGGATTTATATGTCACTTAGTATAGTTGATTGCTTTTATATTTTTTCTTTTGATAAAAGTACCCCTATATAATCACCCAGCATACACTGTAACGTAACTAGAAAGGAAGTATGTTTTTACCTGTATCGTCGCATATCTCTGACTAATGGGAATAGTGTGTTACGCCAAAAAACGACGTTAGCATCCAATATTTCTGTGATGTTGGAGAAAAGCTTGTCGGTGTCAATCTCCTTCAGTAGGTGCCGCGGCTGGAGGTCCTTCAGACAGGCCAGGAAAAGCTACGAAGAATGAATTATTTATCAGTACGGTACAAGGATAGGATAAAAAAAGGTCGATTTTGTGGGTAGTTTGAAAGGCGCTTAATTTGTATGCCTATGGCAGACAGCAATACGTTGTGTGCATTTGTATCGATGGTCTAATTCTAATACCCGGTATCTGCAAAAAATTCGAATTTTACTTTTTCGCACCAGAATGTTACTACTTGAGCTGCATGATTCTGTAAATCAAGAAGTCGACGTACGTGAACAAAAACATAACAGCATACTAACCACTGTTACGATTTGCGATCGATTGCTGGTTCGATAAGAGTGATGATGACCGACGCGCTGTTGTCGTGTGTGTTTTGAATATCCAATTTAATGAAACTTACTTAGTTACTGACTACAAATTTTGGCTTAACTAAGAAAAACTTAATGCCATTTATTTGTTAATTACCCAGTTTAAAAACGTTTTAGATTAGATTTCAATAATGACTATCATAACGTTTACACCCTGTATTATGTATCTACGCATTTTGCTACCACCAAGTACTTCTATCTCGGAAAACCTCATTTTTCGTTTAAGTTCAAGCTTTCGAAATTACAGAATCTTGAGCTACTTGACGCGTTATTCTTTTATAAATAACACTGATCAACAGCCAAAAAATATCCTAAATAAAATCAACAAAATATTACTATTTTTAATGTGCTAAAACCGGAATGAAACTTATTTTTTCAATATTAGTTCAAGTTTTAGAGATACGGTAATTATATGTGTTCCTGCTGTGACAGTGTTAATATACTGTAATTCACAAGAATGCACGTGCTACATTTTTATATTCGGCAAGGAAAGATGATGTAATCGGCATGATTGTGTTACGTTATACATACGTGTACATTATATTGTTTTATATTAGCCATTTTTTCCTCAGTTGGCTGACAGCGTTCATGCAAGATGTCTTGAAAGTGTGTAAACAATTCAGACCAGTTTTGTTACGTGTGTGGTGATGTGAGTTTTGCGTCTCAGAGACGGCCTATTACTCCACTAATAACAAAGGCATATCAGCTTTATTTCGGTTGTAAACTAGGTGATCGAGACAAACAGTGGGCACCCCACATCTGCTGTAATACATGTGCTTCAAGTCTGAGGAGCTGGTTAAATGGCAAAAAACGGTCTATGCGCTTTGCTGTCCCAATGGTTTGGAGAGAGCCTACAAATCATATTAATGATTGTTACTTTTGCATGGTACCTTGTGTTGGACAAGCCACAGGCATGTCCAAGAAAAAAAAATCGGTTATTAACTACCCAAACATACCATCTGCGATGAGACCTGTGCCTCACAGTGACGAAAATTCTATTCCAAAACCCCCAGAATCCTACACTTGCGAATCAGAAAACGAATCAGATCATGGCGATCGAGTGATTCGTCAGGAAAAAGATATGCCATCAACGTCAAGAGATCCTGATTTTATACCGAGCACGTCATGCCACCAACCGCACAAAATAACACAGTCAGAATTAAATGATCTTGTAAGAGATTTAGAACTTCCAAAATGTAAGGCAGAGTTACTTGGATCAAGACTGCAGCAGTGGAACTTGTTAGAAGACGATGTTTCGGTATGTGTTTTTCGTAAACGCCACAAAGACTTAGAACCATTTTTCAATATGGAGAATAACTTGGTTTTCTGCAGTAACATTAACGGCTTACTGGCGGCTTTAAATATAAACTATAACCCAGAAGAATGGAGATTGTTTATAGACAGTTCAACATTGAGTTTAAAGGCAGTGTTATTGCATATTGGAAATATTTTACCATCTCTTCCTGTAGGGTATGCAGTTCACATGAAAGAATCATATGACAATATGAAGTAACTATTGACATGCATAAAATACGATGAGCACCAATGGCATATTTGTGGCGATTTGAAAGTTGTTGCACTTTTACTTGGGCTGCAGCTAGGCTACACAAAGTTTTGCTGTTTTTTGTGTGAATGGGACAGTCGGGCAAAGGCACTTCATTACAATAGACAAAACTGGCCTGTTCGTCAATTCCTAGAGCCAGGTCAAAAAAATGTACAGCATATGCCATTAGTAGATTCGAAAAAAAATTTATTACCACCACTGCATATCAAGTTGGGCCTAATGAAAAACTTTGTCAAGGCATTAGATAGAGATGGGTCAGCTTTTCAATACCTACGTCAGAAATTTCCAAGACTAAGTGAGGCAAAGGTTAAAGAAGGTATTTTTGTTGGGCCACAGATTCGAAATATTTTGAAACATACACAGTTTGAAAACACTTTAACAGGTATTGAAAAAGCTGCTTGGAATGATTTCCGTCTGGTGGTCACTAATTTCTTGGGAAATAGAAAAGCTGACAACTATAAAACCCTTGTCAAAAATATGCTGTCATCGTATCAAAAGATGGGCTGTAATATGTCTCTTAAGATACATTTCCTACACTCACACCTGGACTTTTTTCCTGACAATTGCGGAGCCGTAAGTGATGAGCACGGCGAACGTTTTCATCAGGATATTTCAACAATGGAAAAAAGGTACCAGGGAAAGTGGAATCCTTCCATGCTTGCAGACTACTGTTGGACTGTTGCTAGAGATGCTCCAGAAACGATCCATAAAAGAACAGCAAAAAGACAGCGCATATAGTGATTCTTATAAGTATATGAATCTTGTTACTTTTTTTAATATATCCTTAAAAATAAAAAGTTTTTTTTCTAAACCGCAACTAATTTTTTTATTTCATTCATTCATTCAGCGCCCCAAAATTAACAAAGAAGTGCACTTTTCCCACAAGATACAATTAAAAAACTAAAATTTGTTGTCCAGTGTAATTTTTATATTTTTGACCACACTATTGATCGCTGGCTGCAGGATAAAAACTTGACCCCAAAACTCATATTGGAAATCGTCTTTTAATAAAAAATTGTGTGTTGTGTTCCAAATTTCTTTAGCGAACTTATCGTCGACACTTTTACTTTAATTATATTTTATTTCATAAAAAATACATTCCATCTGACCGCCAGATCAGTGAAGGTTAATAAATATCCTGTAGGCCATTGAGAAAAACGACGAAATAATCAAACTACGTAAAAATATTTTATTATAATCGTTTTCTGTGCTCAAAATAATACTCTATCTCACTAAACGCTATCGGGTCATCCATTGTTTTTAAATTGAGAAGTATTTAGTCTCTCACCTTAGTAGAAATTATAACGAATTGGAAGGAGGGAATTATACTAAGTGACATGTAAATCCGAACACCCAGTTTAAATGGTTTTATTTTAATAAAATCTTGTATAAGTACTTAATGAAGCATAATAAGTAAATGATAAAAATTTCAAAATGATAGCACTGCTTTAAAGCCCTTTGACCTTTAATAATGTGTGGATGCACCCTGATGTGCTACGCATTCTCCAACGCGCCTAGGCATGCTTCTGATCAGGTGGTCAATGTCCTCCTGTGGTGTCTCATTCCAGGCAACCACCATCTCCTCTCGAAGTGCTTCTAGAGTCTGAGGAGGACGTTGCAAATTGAGCAATCTCCTACCCATCATATCCCACACGTGCTCAATTGGGGATAAGTCGGGAGATCTTGGTGGCCATGGTAACAATGTGACATCATTATGTTGAAAGAAGTCTATTGTGACTCTTGCAACATGTGGTCGGGCATTATCTTGTTGGAAAGTTGGATCTGCCTGGGTGTCAAGATAGGGTAAAAGATGGGGTTCTAGAACTTCGTGGATATAACGCTGCGCATTCATGTTACCTTTGATGAAGATTAAAGGTGACCTGTAACCATAAGCTATAGCACCCCAAACCATAACTCCAACAGTGTGATGAACATGTCGTTCAACAAAAAACTGTGGATTCCTCCTTTCACCACGTCGCCTTCTAACCCTGGCACGACCATCGTGCATGCCTAAACAAAATCGAGACTCGTCACTAAAGACAATACTGTTCCATTCCTGATCCCAGAGTGACCGTTGTCTGCACCACTCAAGGCGATTACGTCGGTGTTCTCGAGTTAAAGGGAGGACCCAGTGTGGCCGGTATGAAAACAAGCCAAAACTTCTCATTCGTCGGTAAACACTTCGCATGCCAATAGGTCTTCCGTGTTCTGCAAACCATTCATTTGCAATGGACCTGGTAGTGGAGAAACGGTCCCTTAAGGCCAATAATCTTAGGCGGCGATCTTCACGGTCTGTTGTTCTACGGCGGCGTCCAGTGCCCCTTGATCTTTGCGTACGGCCTTCTCGAAGCCATGCCTGACAACACCTAACCACAGTGTCTACACTTCTTTGCACTCTAACTGCAATTGCCCGAAAAGAAAGTCCAGCTTCCCGAAGTCCCACAATACGGCCCCTATCAAACTCACTAAGTTGACGAAATCGTACAGGTCTCCGTACTCTAGGCATCGTAACCGATCGTAAAGGATGTCAAGAACCAAAATCCGCCAACGTTGATTCTTTACTGCGGCTGAAATATTCTTTTTTAGAGCGTTAGTGAATTAAAAAAAGCAGTATAAAGACCGGAATGTCCAACTGATGAGGCTGAAAATTTTTTCACTTGATATTTACAGTAAGATAAATACATTCACCAACTTTTATTAAAATAAAAACATTTAAACTGGGTGTTCGGATTTATATGTCACTTAGTATATTACGCCATATATTCGTAAGCAATAGTAATTAAAGGGTTAAGGGAACATTGATAATACAAACTCATGGGAAATCACATTACGGCATACACAAAATTTGTGTATTAACATTTGATGATCTCGTCATGCTATATTGATTTATACGTCAATAAATAAATAATGTGATTAGCCCCAATTTTCTATTATTATATGCCGGCATTGAAGTCTGAAATAGATATATCGGACTTTCATTTGAACTTGTGTACAGTGATAATGTTTCAGAAATGTCTGTGAGTATTTGGAAACGCAAAGGGGGATTAAGAACCTATGTAAAAGAATAATAAAAAAATGTATGCATCCGGTCCCTCCT